AACGACACACACGTACACACACACACACACGCAAATGACTATCTTCCCGGTCGCAGCTTTCCAGAATCACACTTTGCGGAGGGTGGGAAAGTAATTAAAGGTTTGGGGCTGGAAAAGCCCTTTTATTTTAGCTCCCACTGGGCTGGTGTAAACAACGCTGGCATTAATGTCAACAGTGACTTAATTAACCCGGAGGAGGTGACAACTTGAAAGTAAGAGTGGCCGCCTCCCCGGTCATCAAGCTTGACTGTCCGTTAAATAATCAGAATATTAATCCAGGGACAGCCCTTGGCAGGAGGACCCTCCTCCAGAGCTGAGCGCAGCCCCGCCAGCGGGTCCCCGACAGGGAATGACCGATGGACAACATGCATTTTAATCCGGAATATTAACCGTTACAATCCCCAGCGACTGCTTCTTCGGCGGCGGAGTAGCCCCAGCCCTGCTGCGACCACGGAGACGAGGAGACGACAGCAGAGGCCGCGATGACACGGACGCGGCGGGGGGCCGAGAAAAGCAGCCCAGGACCCTCTCGGGTTTAGCTCAGGCTCCTTCCTGGACCTTCGTCACATTTGTCCCTGGACAGTTCCCTCTGGTCGAGCCCAAGAGCGTGATCTACACGGAGCTTCCAACTATCAAACCACGTCTCCGAGATAAGGCCCTTGTGCAATAGAAGGTCAGGGTTGAAGTTACTGTAGCCACAGCCACAGCTGCAGTACCAAGGGGGCCAGACGGCAGCGATGGACACGCGAACGGGTCCGTGTCCACACACACACTCACACACGCACACACTCACACACTCACACACGCACACACTCACACACACACATACACTCACCACACAGCGCGCGCACTCACACACATGCATACACACATGCATACACGCACTCACTCACACGCGCGCTCGCATACACACATGCATACACGCACTCACTCACACACACACACACGCGCGCACACTCACACACATACACACATTCACACACATGCATACACGCACTCACACACACACGCACGCTCACACACACACACACACACACACACACACACGGACTGCGCGTGACGCGGCCTCCACGGGAGCTGCCTCAGGCAGCCGGGCTCTCCGTTGTCTATCAGCAGATTTCCTTCCGAACAACCTCTGACACCAAAGCAAAACTCGTTCCAGGGAAGAACCCATCGCGGGGCTCCATCGGCTGCCATGATCGCGCTAACAGGCCACAGTGCAAACGCCACAGAAAAAAACACAGCTGCCTGGAGGCGAGAGGCCTCCTCCAAGGTCTGCGATACAGCGCATCCAACTTGCGGCCACAGGACCCGCAGGCGCCCCGCCTGGCTTCCTGGGAGATGACGAGTGGGGGGGGGGGGGGGGGGGGGGGGGGGGGGGGGGGGGGGGGGGGGTGAGCAGTCGGCACCTGGCCAGGCAGCGCCCAGGAAGGAAAAGAGCTCAGCCTCCCCGATGGGCCCAGAAAGCAGCTGGAACCTGGGAAAAGATGGGTCATGTGGCCAGACGAGGGCTGGACCTCGTGCTAACTGCTCTTTAGGCTCCAACGGCCTTTTTCTTCCCATTGGTGTTTTTAGAGGGAAAGGGAGGGAGGGGTGAAGAAAGGGGGGTAGAGAGCCACAGCCCCCTTGGTGTTCAGGCCGACACTCTAACCGCTGAGCCACCAACCAGGGCTCGGGCACCTTTCCAAGCAGGTGATCCGAAGGCGTCTGAGGAGACCGACCTCATCTGACCTTCATGCCGGCCCTAAAGGTCACCTGACCAAACCCTCGGGCGCAGAAAGACAAGCTGGGACCCAGGGCTCCGGAGCCGTTTCCTCCTCCCACTAAGTCTTCTCCTTCCTTTAACCTCTCAGGGCCCTGGACACAAGTTTCACAGAAACATGAGCCCAGGAAGATGCACAGAGGACACAGGCGACACGGGACCCACAGGTTAGGGCGCTCATGGGCCTCCCCTGTCCCCCCATTCCAGGTGGGGAAGGCCGGCTCAACAACACAGGCTGGATCCGAGCTGTCACACCAGGAGCTGCCAGGTT